GCAAGTTGCCACGTGTGGAAAATCACAGTGAAAAAAAGAGCAGGCATGCTCACTACAAAACAAAACAAAATCCACCCTGATTCTTGCAAGAAATGAATTGATGGCTGATATAGGGGTGGCAAGACAAAGCCATCTGAAAGGAGTACTTGTAGGGAAAAACAGAAAAAGGGGACCATGCCTAGAAATTATTGAACCTGTGCCACAAGGTCTCTGAAACTTGTACTAAAACAGACAATATTTGCATGGTCCTGGGATTCAATTTCTTACACCACACTGACATATTGATAGTACTCCCCTCTTCCAACATCCAGAAGTCATAGGTGTATACTCCACTCATTTGTTAGAAACCAGGCCAGACTGACGCATGTCTATTTTGTCATACTTTTTGGCCTAAAAGGACTTAGCTGAACACAAGTGACTCAAGCCTGTCATCCCAACCTATATTGAAGGCTGAGATCTGGAGGATGGAGGTTCCAGGCCAGCCAGAGCAAAAAGAGAGACCCCATCTAAATATAAAAAAAATCTGGTTGTGGTGTTGTGTGCTTGTCATTCCAGCTATGGCAAGGACAATTGTGGTCCAGGTTGGTCTGGGCAAAAAGCAAGACTCTATTTCCAAAATTACCAGAAAGAAAAAGGACTGGAGGTATGGCTCAAGCAGTAGAGCACCTGCCTAGCAAGCGTGAAGCTCTAAGTTGAAACTCCAGTAACACACACACACACACACACACACACACACACACACACACACACGGTATGTACTTGTTTTAAGTCAGAATCTGGTTTTAGGGGGAAACACAACCCATCCTCCACACTCCCAGAGTCTTTGATGCTATATTTTTCCAGCTCTCTCAACAGCTCTAAGGAAGGAAGAGAAAGAGACCTCAAGAACTATAGAAGGGCATGCGGAGAACCAGCGTTTAAAAATAGCTGCAACCTGATGGCTGCGAAGGAAGTTTATGTTTGACTTTAGCATTCAGTTTTTTTAAATGTCTAGCTCATTTTGTTAATGTGGTTTTTCCACAATTACATTATTTTTGAAACATTTGGTGAGTGTATAGACAGAAGGGATGCGACCTACGGTATCGGTCAAGGTTTGTCTAAAAATATTTTACACCTGTTCTCTGCTCTGCACACTGGTCATATTTTATCAGTGAAGTAAGTTCTAATGCCAGACGGAATGTGTTTTTCCTTCCAAGTCTTCAACGTTTTTCCCTTCGGTAAAGCAAACCTCCTCTTCTTTTCTACCTGCACCATTAGCCATGTGACACAGGCACCACCAAAACTACTTTTTAGCAACTCCTATTCCCTGGACTGGTATTTGTTTAAATCTGCTGTTTCACAACAGCACGGATACTTAATTTAGCAAACATATTTTGGCTGCTCCCAGAAGGCATGCCAACTAGTTTACTGGGTTTAAATCAACTTGCTGATTGGATGAAAATGAATGCTGAACACTGGTTTCTCTCACTGCCTCAAAGCTAGAAAGCCGAACTCAGTGGTATTTATCACTAACGTGTGACTAGAATAGCTTTTAGGATGTTACTGTCGAATTTTAATTCTCTGTTGATACAAATAACAGGTTATACAATAAAATGTTAACAAGAAGACAAATCTTCACTTCCCACAGGCACATTACCTAGCTCAGTTGAAGTGGAGAAGCTCTCGATCAGTCCTGTTACCGTCAGTCGTGTCTCAATCATTGTGATCTGCCGAGTGTTTCCCTGCCCTTAGTTTTGTGAAAATCTGCCTCCCCAAAAGCAAGGTGAAAGTGAGCGTGCTTAACTGGAGTGATAAAGCGTTGAGTGGCTGTGTCTTCCGCAGTCATTGCGAGGAGTATGGGAAATGAATCAAGCACTGAGCTCTATGCACCCTGAGCATGCACAGGTTTTCCTCACAGTGGGCTTCTTGGAACCGTGTACCCACCGGTACCATACCTGTGCCTGGGATTTGAATTCAGGGCCTGCGCACTTGCTAGACAGGCGCTCTACCAGTTGAGCCACACTGCCAGCCCTTCAGTTACTTTTCAGATAGGTTCTTGTGTTTATGTCCAGGCCAGCCTGAACCATAATCTTCCTGCCTATTCCTCCTGTGCATCTGAGGTCACAGTTGTGCGACACAGTTGTGCGACAGCTTGCTGATTGAGATGGAGTCTCAAGAACTTTTTGCTTGGGGTGGCATCAAACTGTAATCCTTCTGATCTCCGCCTCCCAAGAAGCAGGGATTATAGACATGAGCCACCATGCCTGCCCTATATAAAATCTTAAAACTCAAATATTGGAAAATAGTTAGGCTTGCTACTTACAAGTCAAATTCCATTGACAAGATTGTTACCCAAGCCTAAACCTCCACAAGCCCATCCAAGTGTCAGCAGTATTTGGTCCAAATTCTAATCCAAAAATCTAAATAGAGGCAATTTAGTATAACAAGATTTAATCCATATAGAAGCTACATAAACTCTACAGGGCTATTTTTAAAATGGGCTTTTCTGTTTAATTGTGCAACTTAAACATGCTCAAAACTGATAGAAACACAGGTGAGTTTATTCATAATAGCTTATGCTTCTAAAATGTAACCATTTTTTTAATTTTAACTCAAAATATTTTGAGTTAAAATAAGAGGTCATTGGGTTCCTTCATGTTTTAAAATAAAAGCAAAAAGATCATTTATCACAACACACACACATATATATGGAAGTCATGTATTATAAAAGTTTGCCTTTAAGGTAGCTTTTCAAAGTAATTCTAAAAGAAATCATAGCTGTGTATGGTGACTCACACCTGTAATCCTAGCTACTTGGGAGACAAAGATTGGAAGATCACAGCGTGAGGCCAGTCTGGGCAAAAAGCTAAAAAGCTTGTGAGACCCATCTCAACCAATGGCTGGGCCCAGTGTTGTGCACTTGTCATCCCAGCTACATAGGGAAGCACAAGTAGGAGGATGGAAGTCCAAGCCTACCTGCGCATAAAGTGAGACCCGATTCTCAAAAATAACCAATGCTAAAAGGGCTGGAGGTGTGCCTCAAGTGGAAGAACACTTGCTAGGCAGGCCCTGAGTTCAAAGATTTCACACCACACCTGATTTTAGAGAAGAGAAGGCACACGCAGTAAAATATACTAAAATCTAAAGTTTTTTGAGTTTTTCTCACTCATAGGTGAGCTATGCTACCTCTAAGGCAGCATGTCACACACCAGGATAAGGCACTCAGAAACTACTATTGCATGGGCAGTCACAGAAGCCACAGATAGGAAAGGCCTATGAAAATAACTCCTCAAACTGTCATCAAGAGTCTTCATGCAGAGGACCAAAAGCGGATGGCACAGTGGAGAGAAAAAGACTAGGGACTAAGAAGTAAGCTTTTCTAGATGTGCTAGACCCAAGTACCTTTTAAATAATTTCCATCCCTAATGAGCAAAAAGGCATGAAAACAGGGCTTTGTTCATTCTTTAAAAAGAAAAAAAAAAAAAAAAGTCAAGAACACCAAGCTCAAATTGGTTTCTATGAAACCAATCAAGATAAAATTTTGAGTTGATCCTTCTCAAGTGCCAAAATAACATCTTAAGTGCCAAGAAGAAACTTAAGAACTCTTAAGATCTGAAACATTTATGCATTAAGCTCAATAGTTAAAATTTGAATGTGTACTAGTCTTCTGGACCGTTACAAATTCTATTGTGTATGTACTGTGTAGCTGCTTTATCTGATTTTCATTAAAGTATGTGCACTGCAGCCTTTCTGCATTTATAGGCAGTTTTCTTCCAAGGTAAGCCTTTAGCTTTCACAGAAATTTCTATCACCTAGTGCTTAAAACCATTCCCAATTACTCTCATGATTCAAACTTCATGATCACAAAGGCATAGTGGTAAGTCTTGGCAGACCAGATCTCTGCCTGTTCCACTCACTGTTCCAATACTTCTTCATAGCCTCATTCTGTCCACCAAAGGACAAAGGCCTCACCATGGAGCTGACAGAACAGCCTGGCTCTGTTATTTCCAGTGCTTGTTTCCTTAAAACTTTTTATTGCTCTACACTGCATGGGTAAGAGACAAAAGGCTTTTGTAGACTACTGTCTCAAAAACTCATTTGAGACCAAATTTATTTCACTGGTAACCCAGACCACACTGGTTTCTTACTATACAAGCACAGAATTACTTATTTCTAGTCCAAGACAATTTTCTCACCAATACTATGTCAACACTGTATCAATGGACTTTTTAAACAGTGAAAGGTCTCATTTTTCTTTTGGTGGTACTAGGGTTTGAACTCAGGGCCCTCATACTTGCTAAGCAGGCGCTCTACTAGTTGATCATCTTTTTAAAGTTTTTTTTTTTTTTTTAAAGTTTTTAAAAAAAAAAACCCATCCTTACCAAGACCCTACAATGTGACACATTATCAGTAACTGATCTGTAAGGCCCCCCAAACCAGCAAGCTGAATATCACTTGCAGAAAATACAGCGTATGCTTTAACATGTTCAATATATTTTAACATTTGGACCTATCCAAGTGTAACTAGGTTCCATAAATTCTCTAGCTACATACAGTGACCGAACTTTTAAGCATAAGGATTAGCAAACAGAGTACGATCAAAGTACATTACAGACATGAATGGAAATATCATAAAGTCCCTTACTATCTATAATATATACCAAATATAAAAAATGGTTGGTAAAAAGGCCTACATCTTTTCCAGTTAGGTCAGCTGCTCCAGCATCTCCCATACAAAGACCAAAAAATGTTCCTATGCTCTCTCCCCATATACAATTTCAAATAAATGCTGTCGGATTACACAAGTGAGACTCACTGCATCACAACTCACTCCTAGATGTCAGCATGACATTTTAAAACGTGCTTTAACATAGGGTTGACAAGTCTTAACGTAACATCCCTGTCGTGGGGGATGGACATGGACAGATGAGGGTTGTTAAAAAATGAAACTCTTCCAATCACTGGACAAGTTATACTATTTTGGGAAAACCTTTTAAAGACAAAGACCACACATTAGGCACTTTTAATTTTAAAGAATTTTAATACAAACTTAATATAAACTATTTCAGTCCCTCTTAACATGTAAGACACTGACTCAAAATACTTTTATACCGTTTTTTTCAAGTATTGCACAATATAGGTACAAAATTAATATTTACGATTACATTTTCTTCCATAATATATAGCAAAAATCTTTAAACCTTTAACAGAAAATACATTTTTTTGAAAAAGCAAATATTCGTACATTTTAATTCCACCACTGAAGGAATATCCTGTACACAATTTTTAGAATAGCTGATGTCTTTAAGATGGATATTTTACAATTTCAGTAAAAAAAATACAACATGAAGCTGCTGCTGTCACAGATCACTGTAGTAAAAAGATATAAATGCAATACCATGTCGTAGAAACAATATATATCTCCTCTGATATTTTACAAACTTTGTACTAAATTAAATTATACAATTAGAAAAGACCAATAAACCCACTTATTAGTGCCAATTTTTTATAAAAAAAAAAAAATCAGCCATGTCCTTGCTATATCTTAAATACTGTAAGAGGCCATATCTGAGAGTATACTTTAAAATATACAGTCAGTATAAAATAACTTTGTGCTTGGTTGGCAAATGAAAAATGATGCATGTTTTATTTTTGTAACCAAGCTTGAATGTATCCTTACTATAAGCTTTAAAAAAAAAAAAAAAAAATCTCAAGGAGGTGAAAAAAGGTCCCCCTTGGGCCCGTGCATTTTAACTTTACATTTTTTTCTCTCTCTTTTTAGTTAGCCATAACAGGCTGGAATTGCTGGTTAGAATACTGCATGTTATTTAAGCTAAAATTCAAGCCATCTACAAAAGACTTCTCGTTGAGGCCTCCATAGGCCGCAAACACATCAAAGGCATTACTGTACTGGAGAGGACTGAGGTTAAGGGGGCTGTCACCTGGGAACATTCCATTGGTACTACTACCTTGACCCTGCATATTAGGAAAAATAAATTCCTTGGCATTAGGAGAAAGAGCAGAGGTTTTCTGCTGCTGTTGCTGCTGCGGTGGTGGTGGTGGCGGTGGCTGGGATGGCTGCGGCTGCTGTGGTGGCTGCTGCTGGCTGCCCAGGCCCAGCCCGTACAGAGAGTGCATTGAGGAGGAGATGGCTTTCTGCTTTAGGAGGTCATTCACATTCAGGCCGAGGTTGATCGGAGAAGTGCGTGCAACCTTGTTGCTACGGCCACTATTCTTCATTTTGGTAGAGCCGAACTTGGTGGCAGCAAAAGTGGCAGTGGTGAAGGTTAAAGGCTGAGTGGATCGGGGCATGAAGGTAGGACTTACAGCAGCAGAGTGACCAAAGGGAGGCGATGGAGAGCTGGACACTGATGAAGTTGGGTCACTTATGGGCATGAAAACCTGGGCCTCTGGGTTAAAGCTGTTTTTGATCTCCTTATCCAACTCACATCCATTTTCATTATTATCATCCACATAAAGCACCTTCACTGGTCCCTTCTCACCAATTTGGTAGGAAACCTCAAATGGGTCGATCCAAACACTAAGATCCTGTGGCAGATTGCCACGAACATCATCAATGTCCAAGCCACTCTCTTTGGATGCTTGTTCAATCACCGGGTCCACTTTTTCGCCTATGTGTATACATCTAAACCCTGATCCTTTGTATGGCTTTTCAGGATACCAGTGCCCTTCATATTTCTTCTTAAGAAGTCTTTCAAGCTCTTCACCAAAAATGTTGACACGTCTCCTGGGAAGCTTATTGTACAAATATGAAATAATAAAATTTAGTGCTACTTGGATTTCAAGCTGCATAGCTGCTATGCCACAAAGTTAGGTTTGTTTCAACTCCTCCACCAAGGGAAAACAAAAACAAAAACAAAAAAGTTCAGTTTGTGGCAGAGAAACAAATTCTCATTCAAAGTGCTGGTATTAGTAGATTATCCTTCACCTTGAGTGGTCTTGTTCCTTTAAGAAAACAAAACAAAACAAAAGCAAACATGCCCAAATAAGATAAATGTAATGTCTTATGACTCTTTAAATTTATCCCTAGAGTAATTTCACTTTTGAGAATGTCTAGAATGTCTAATAGACATTCTCAAAAAATATAATCAGTACAAAATCAGAAATATACAATAGCTAATTGTTTATCAAAGTTCAAAATCTCATGGGAAAACAAAGAGTAACAGTTAAAACAACAGTACTTTTCAAAAACCCTATTACTTACTTTCTGTATAGAACTTTAAAAAGAAATCTAGCTCCAGAGTATGTATTCTTTTTCTTCCTTCAACTCTCACAAAAATATTTACTGGAAGTTGTATTCAGCATTATCCCCCTCCATAAACACACATATGCCACATTTAGAAGCTAATCATTAATTTTTTATTGCTATTCACTAATTTAAAAGTGAATTCTGTATTTTAGTTCAGTTTAGATAATTTTGCTTTGAGTCTGCTCTAAACATTTAGAAATCTGAGAAGTTAGGAAAATTATTTTAATTTTCAAAGACGTGATGCTAAAATTAAAGGTACTAATTGAACTGTCACCCTGGTAGAAGAATCAAACTATCCCACATAGTTGCGGTCTTAAACACACTAAGGGCACACAAAATAATAACTGCACTTCTCTGTGCTTTTTATCTTTTCAGCATTGTGTTCTTGCCGAATTGGAAATTCCTTTTCAGCAGCAAGTATAACAAAAGCAACAATCAATTTAAAAACTCATTGATTATTCTGTTTAAAGGGCAGGGTTTCTCAGTTTTACTCCGATTTTAAAAGCCGCCTCCTTCCCTGTCCCGATAAGAGACCAGCTGGGAGAGAGGCATGTATGATAAGGTCGACCTTTAAACGTTTGCTGGATCAGCACTGGGTGGGGATAAGAAAAGATCAAGGGCAAACAGAAGATCTTTCCAAAGGAGATCTATTTGTACTCAAAGGGGCATTAAAAAAAAAAATCAAGTTAGTGTTAATCCGTCTGTTCCATTTTCCACGTTCGTGGTGACAAAGGGAAAAGAATCGCCGCGTTTGCTCCTAAACTACCAACACTTTGCAAGCCGAAAGCCCGAGTGCAGGCAAAGGCAGCTGATGAAGCTCGATTGCTTTAAGGTGCAGCCGAGCGAAATCCGGGCTCGGTGGAAGGTAGTTTGAAAGCAACGCCTTACGACAGGAGTGTGAAGAATTACATAAACAGCCAGTTGGTTCTCATTACATTTCAGCTCACAGCCCCGGGAGCCCAACGCTACGGCAGCAGCAGGAGGCGGCGGCGGAGGAGGAGGACGAGTACGGGCCTGCGGCGGGAGGACGATGGCCGGGGGAAATGGAGCGGCGAGCTGTCCCCGCCGATCCCGGGCACCCGGCTGGTCGCGGCGCCCGCCCGAGCCGGGTCAGCCGTTCCCCTCCCCCGCCGTAACCTGACCCTCCGCTCCCCGCCCCCGCCCGCAGCTCCTGGGACCCGGCCAGCGCCCGGGGAGCACCGGTTCCCCAGCACCATTTTCAGCCTCGGTGGCCACCGGCCTCTAGGATTCCAGCGCCCCCCGCGAGGTCGCCGCTCCTCCCGAGCGCCCCAACCCCCCCGCTCGTCCCGGGGCCTCCCGTCGCCGGTCATCCGCCGCCGGACCTGGGCCCAGCCCCACGTCTCGGGCCGGACCTTCGGAACCGCCGCTCCCCTTAGGTCCCGGTGGCCGCCCCTCCGCACCCGGGCTGCGACGCCGCCGTCCCCGAGGTCCGGGCTCGACGACGCCGCAGCCCCTCCCTAGGCGCCTCCGTCCGCTGCCCGCCGCCCCGCGATACTTACGGGCTGCTTCGGAGCTGCGTCCACCACCGACCCGCGGCTGGGCGGGGGGAGAAGGGGCGGCAGGGCGGGGGCGCGGGAGGGTCAAGAGCAGCCAGCAGGCAGAGTGCAAGGCGTCGCCGCTGCCGCCGGACGGGGGACAGAGGCCTCGGACGGGCCCCGGGAGCTCGCCGCTTCTGGCTCGGGGTGACGGGGACGGAGGTTAGGCGAGCGCGCTTACTTCTCCACACAGCCCGGTGCCCCGGCCCAGCGTCCCCGTACTGCGCCCACTCCGCGCCGGGCCAGAGCTTCGCTCCTTCTGCCGCGGCGCGCGCCCCGCCTCTCGTTTTATATTCTTCTCCCTGCCCCCCATCCCCTCCGTGGGGGTGCGCGCGCCCGCCCGCGTCACACAGCTCCGGGCGGCGTAACCATTCCCCACCCTCCCCGCCCCGCACCCCAGGACCTCGTCGGCTGGCTCCGCCCCTGCCCTGCCCCCCGACGCCATTGGCCAAGTCCCGCCTGCCCATGTCCTGACGGCCCGCGGACGGCAGGGTGGGGAAGGCTACACCCCTGGGCTCTGGAATAACCAATGAACCTGCAATCTGGAGAGACTTGGGCGGGATTAAGAGAAAATTTGGGAAAGGATTGGAGGAGAGACGTGCCGGAGGGCGAAAGGGGTAGGGCGGGGCGGCTGACGTTCGGTCCCAGCGGAGAGCGCTGAGGAGAAGGGGGAGGGGAGCGGAGCAGGTGGCGAAGCGGTGGGGGACAATGGAGAGGAGATGCCAAGGCCCCGAGAGAGAGGGACGGGTATACAGATAATGCCCTACTCTAGTGGCCCTGTGGCCGAGGAAAAGCCCACTCGTGGACGAGCTATCAAGTCGGTCTCCAGCCCACCCCAGGAGAGTCTAGAAAAAGAGCGAACTGTGACCGGGACTCGTGCGCCCGATTCATTGAATATTAATTCTCTCAGGGCCTAGGCCAACTGCCACCCAGAGAGTGGCAACTGCAGAACCCAAAGCTGCCGTGCCGGGCTGGGGGTGGGGAAAGGAGGCCACCTTGCTGCACCTTCCGCCCAGGTGACAGTTTAACTGCCTCCTTAGTCCCCATCAGACCTTCCCAGACGGACAGAAAACAGCTCGGAGATAGAGATCATAAGAAGAATCGCATTTTATTCCAAATATCCCAGGTCAGGCCTCCGCGCCCACGATGACAAACTGCGTGTCTTGAGTATATATATATATACATATATATATATATGTATATATATGTATATGCATATATGCATTTCAAGGGCTTTAACACGGATGCTCAGAATAAACACAGCCCCTTCCGGTGATGCGTGTAGGATAACTGAACTATGTGCGGCTATCTAGGGGATGGGGAAGGAAGGGACTCGGGGACAGGTAAGCGCCTTTTCCACAACCCGCAGCAGAGAAATACAACCAAGTTACATTGGGAGTGGAATGGGGAGTTCCTCTCAGCTAAAAATATTACTCACAGGTAGCAACGACGCCTGATTGGTTGCGCTCGTTCCTTAGCAACCATGCGATTGGCTGTCTGGTATCCAAGAGACGGACGTCAAACTCGGACTGGGAAAAGAAGAAAGTCCAGGGGGAGCCGAGGGATGGGGGAGAAAGAGAAGCCATGAATGAAACGCCCATCGCCTGGCCTTCCTCTTCCCTGTCCTCTGCACTCAAGGAACGCTTCCTGGAAAAATACCAGTTGGGGCGCCGCCTTCCCCTCAAAACTGTGGGGCCTGCATTCTCAACCTAGCATCAGGAAGTTAAACCGCAGCTTACGGGGAGCGGGGCGTCCGCGGGGCCAGTGCAGACCAGCTGTGCAACTCGGGCACAAACTCGCTTTATTTGTGGGGCCCAGAGGCTTTTCGTTTTATGGACGCAAAATCTGGACGTAGCTTTCTCCACTCCGCCCCACTCTCCTGCCCTTCTGCCTCTTTTAGAAGGAACCGCCTCGAGAAAGGCTATTTCTAAAGTCTCAATATCTCTATAATTAGGGGAGCATATTAAGCTTGGCTGAGATTAAAATGTCTAAAAATAGACGAATCATAATTTTGTCAAGCTTATCTATACTTTTCAAGAATTTTCTAAAGGAAAGAAATTTTCTGAGTGTCTCCAATCTATAATCCCAGATATAAAATACTAGAGTAGTCATCTGCTAGATATTAAATATCAATAAAAGTAAATTGAATTTTTTTTTAGTTTTTGAGTGAATTTTTTTTTTAATACTGGGTTTGAACTCATAGGCAGGCACTCTACTCCCTGAGCTACTCCGCCAGCTCTTTTTGCTTTTTGAGACAGGGTCTCCATATGTAGCCCAGGACAGACTGAATTAATGATCCTCCTGCTTCAGCCTGCTGGGTGCTGGAATTACAGGTGTGTACCACCATACCTAGCTAATAAACTGAATTTCTAAATCAGAAATTCCAGGACTGCCAGGTGACAGTGGCTCACACCTATAATCCTAGCTACTCAGGTGACAGAGATCAGGAGGATCCTGGTTTGAAGCCAGCCCTATCTTGAAAACACCCAACACAAAAAAGGACTGGTGGAGTGGCTCAAGTGGTAGAGAATCTGCCTAGCCAGCATGAGGTCCTGAGTTCAAACCCTAGTACTGCAGAAAAATAAAAGAATGAATGAATGAATGAATTCCAGGCCAGCTTGGGCTACATGGTAAAACCCTGTTTCAGGAAAAAAAAAACCAAAAACAGAGTTATAGCTGCTCTGCTCAGCTCAGGAATGAGAGTGTCAATCCAAATAAAAATAGGAACACACACACACACACACACACACACACCAACACACATGCGTCCTGTGGTATAGGAAATTTACTGACCCGAGGGTAAATTAGGAGCTTCACCCAGTTTCTGCCAGGTGACAGTGGCTCACACCTATAATCCTAGCTACTCAGGTGACAGAGATCAGGAGGATCCTGGTTTGAAGCCAGCCCTATCTTGAAAACACCCAACACAAAAAAGGACTGGTGGAGTGGCTCAAGTGGTAGAGAATCTGCCTAGCCAGCATGAGGTCCTGAGTTCAAACCCTAGTACTGCAGAAAAATAAAAGAATGAATGAATGAATGAATTCCAGGC